CATAATAGCACTCACAGAAACAAAACTCACCAGAATAATAACAGATTCAATCTTTCCATCCGGATACCAAATCCTCAGGAAAGACAGAGGGAGGAGAGGGGGAGGAGGAGTTGCACTGCTCATTAAAAACCAGTGGGATTTTGAGAAAATGGAAGGAATGGATGGCATGGGCGAAAGGGACTACTTAGTAGGAACAATCCAGTCTGAGGGACATAAGGTGATAATGTACAACCCACCACAGAACTGCAGGAGGCCAAGAGAAGAATATGATGAGAGCAACAGAGCAATGATCGACACACTAGCCGAGGTGGCCAGGAGAGCACACATGGGAGGAGCAAAGTTACTAGTTATGGGTGATTTCAATCACAAGGAGATTGACTGGGAAATTCTGGAGCCCCATGGGGGTCCCAAAACATGGAGAGCCAAGATGATGGATGTGGTACTGGAAAACCTCATGCATCACACTACCAGAGAGAGAGGAGAGGATGAACCAGCAAGACTGGACCTTGTATTCACCATGAGTAGTTCGGACATCAAGGGTATCATGTATGAAAGGCCTCTGGGAGCTAGTGATCATGTGGTTCTGTGCTTCGACTACATAGTTGAGCTCCAAGTGGAGAGAGTAGCAGGAATAGGCTGGGAAAAACCAAACTACAAAAGGGGGAATTACTCAGGCATGAGGAACTTCCTTCAAGACATTCAGTGGGAGAGGGAACTGACAGGAAAACCAGTACAAGAAATGATGGACTATGTAGCAACAAAATGCAAGGAGGCAGAGGAGAGGTTTGTTCCCAAGGGAAACAGAAATAATGGGAAGAACAGAACGAGTCCTTGGTTCACCCAAAGGTGTAGGGAGGCAAAAACTAGGTGTTTACCTGGAGTTTACCTGGAGAGAGTTCTGGGGGTCAACACCCCCGCGGCCCGGTCTGAGACCAGGCCTCCTAAGAAAGGAAAAGGTACAGAAGACAGAGAACTCAGGAAAATAAAGAAATCAGCCGAAGAGCCAGAAATGAATATGCACAGATAAGAAGGGAGGCTCAGAGACAATATGAAAATGACATAGCATCAAAAGTAAAGACTGACCCGAAGCTGTTGTACAGCCACATCAGGAGGAAAACAACAGTCAAGGACCAGGTAATCAGACTGAGGAAGGGTGATGGGGAATTCACAAGTAACGACCAAGAGGTATGTCAGGAGCTCAACACAAGATTTAAAGAGGTACTTATAGTGGAACCCAGTAGGACTCCATGAAATCAGAACAGGGGGGCACACCCGCAAGTGCTGGATGAGGTACATATAACCAAGGAGGAGGTGAAGAAGCTGCTATGCGAACTTGACACCTTAAAGGGCGGTGGGACCAGACATCTCTCCATGGGTCCTTAAAGAGGGAGCAGAGATAATTGGTGAGCCATTAACAAAGATCTTCAACACATCACTTAAACTGGGCAACTCCCTGAGGTATGGAAAATGGCAAATGTAGTCCCAATTTTTAAAAGGGAGACAGACATGAGGCACTAAACTATAGACCTGTATCACTAACGTGTATAGTATGCAAGGCCCATGGAGAAGATCATCAGGAGGAAGAGGGTTGGGCACCTGGAAAGAAACAAGTGTATAATTGACAACCAGCACGGTTTCAGGGAAGGAAAATCCTGTGTCACAAACCTACTAATTTTATGACAAGGTGACAGAAGTAAGACAAGAGAGGGGAGGGTGGATCGACTGCATATTTTTGGACTGCAAGAAGGCCTTCGACACAGTTCCCCACAAGAGGTTACTGCAAAAGCTAAGAATCAGGCACACCAACAGAAAGGCACTGCAATGGATCGGAGAAACCTATCAGGGAGGCAACAACGAGTCATGGGACGCGCCCAGGTGTCAGGTGGGCGCCTGTGACAAGCGGGGTTCCACAGGGGTCAGTCCTAGGACCTGTGCTGTTCTTGGTATAATGTGAACGACATAACTGAAGGGATAGACTCAGAAGGTCCTTGTTTGCAGATGATGCGAAGTTAATGAAAAGAATCAAATCGGATGAGGATCAGGCAGGACTACAAAGAGACCTTGGGCAGGGTACAACCTGGTCCAGCAACTGGCTCCTTGAATTTAACCCTGCCAAATGCAAAGTCATGAAGATTGGGGAAGGGCAAAGAAGACGGCAGACACAATATAGTTTAGATGGCCAAAGACTCAAACCTCACTCAAGGAAAAAGACCTGGGGTGAGTATAACACCGAGCATATCTCCTGAGGCGCACATCATCAGATAACTGCTGCAGCATACGGGCGCCTGGCAAACCACAGATAGCGTTCCGATACCTCAGTAAGGATTCGTTTAAGACTCTGTATACCATTTAATGTCAGGCCCAACTGGAGTATGCAGCACCAGTTTGGAATCCACACCTAGTCAAGCACCTCAAGAAATTAGAGAAAGTGCAAAGGTTTGCAACAAGACTAGTCCCAGAGCTACGGGGATTGTCCTACAAAGAAAGGTTGAGGGAAATCGGCCTGACGACACTGGAGGACAGGAGGGTCAGGGGAGACATGATAACGACATATAAAATACTGCGCGGAATAGACAAGGTGGACAAAGACGGGATGTTCCAGAGAAGGGACACAGGCACAAGAGGTCACAATTGGAAGTTGAAGACTCAGATGAATCAAAGGGATGTTAGGAAGTATTTCTTCAGTCATAGAGTAGTCAGGCCGTGGAATAGCCTAGAAAGTGACGTAGTGGAGGCGGGAACCATACATAGTTTTAAGGCGAGGTATGATAGAGCTCATGGGGCAGGGAGAGAGAGGACCTAGTAGCAGTCAGCGAAGAGGCAGGGCCAGGAGCTGTGAATCGACCCCTGCAACCACAAATAGGTGAGTACAAATAGGTGAGTACACACACACACACACAACGCCCCCCCCCCCACTCCTAAGTGGGAAACGGCCGATGTGTTAAAAAAATATTCACTGTTACACTAGCTGCCATTCCAAAAAAAGCAAAGATATTATAGTCCGGTGTTGACCCATTAACTCACAACCTCTCTGCCCTACTCTAAGGGTGAAGGTACTGTAGTATTAAAGTTTCTAAACTCAAATCTTGCTAGCCAATTTTTCCTGAGTTTCTTCATAATTTACTAAATTCTCCAATATTTTATGACATTTTTCCTATGAATTAGCCCATGGATTTGTGTAGGGGCAGAAAGTACTTAACTAAGTAATACATTTTTTCAATAAACAAGTGTAACAATTAAATGGAGTGACTGTTTTCTAACCTGTCATCTGGCAGTCCTAAGAATCTGGTTTGAGAAACCTTATGACCCCTCTGTATTTCAGTAGTTGAACACTGGACTTGCAATCTTAGGACCTCCAGATCACAGGCTCTAATCTCATCACTTCTGTGATGTGTTTAACAATATTTGAGTCTCACATTTTATCACTGATATAGACATGGGCTAAATAAAAGCTGCCATATACAGTGGACCCCCGGTTAACGATATTTTTTCACTCCAGAAGTATGTTCAGGTGCCAGTACTGACCGAATTTGTTCCCATAAGAAATATTGTGAAGTAGATTAGTCCATTTCAGACCCCCAAACATACACGTACAAACGCACTTACATAAATACACTTACATAATTGGTCGCATTCGGAGGTAATCGTTATGCAGGGGTCCACTGTATATGCATTGAGCCAACTATAAAGTGAAACAAAACTCAAAAATCTTAAATAAGAAATGTGTCAAATAATGGCATATATTGTAGAATGAAGTGAAGAGATGATGAACAGTTTGCAAAAAAAAAGGGAATAAAAAGATTACCTGAGGAAGTGATGGAATGTGCTATTCATAAAAGCCTGAAGAATAGTGTTGTAAGATTCAAAATTGTCTCTTTAGAGAATGTAATATTGGTGCTTAAGATAGTCAGCATGTAGTAGATATATTGTAGTAGGTATATTCCTGAGGGATTACAGTAAATCCTCCATTAATGCAAAATTAAATGAAATGGTTATGTATTAATGCTATGGAAAAAGTGCAACCAAAAATTCAAGGCACATTAAAATGCTTGGTATTAAGTCCCATAAAATGTGAAGGAATAAGCATAGCCTAATGTTGGGCGCAGAATCAGGGCACTGACTTGCCACAGTTCTGGCATAAATTTTAAAATTGCAAATGCACATATATATTAAAGGTGCCATGGGATTAAGTGTCCCACTCGACCATAACCATGCAAGCTGGGATTAATTTTGACCTGTGGTGAATACTTTTATTGGTTTTCCTTCATTGAGGGGTATGGTCCAGGATATTGAGGCTCTGGCAAGGATTGAGATATAAGGGCTTTGAAAATTTACATGAAGTTGTAAATGAACTGATATGAGAAAATAACAAAGAATGAGTTGCAGATGAATTACTAGAGGATTTCAGTTCTCAGGAAGCAGATAAGCCTGTAACAGAAGCAGATGAGGAAGAGCAGCTTGAAGATAAATGCTTAATAAAAGCATATCTCACTTTATTGATGTGAAGTCTGAAGCATCTGATGATGCCTGACCATGACCTCTGTAATATACAGTAGTGCAGGGTAAAATTGACCAGAGATGCATTACAGAATACTTTAGCACTCCATTACAACCATGACCTACTGGCAGCTTTGCATCTACATCAATACAAGAACCACATACATCCACCTCAGCCCAGTATGGCCATATCAACCCTCTATGCTTACTACCATGTCAACCAACACTAATAATTAGAATGTGAGGTAAGATAAACTGTAGGAATTTGCACCTGCTAAAATATTGAACAAATTTATTTGGCAAATTTGGAAGTAACACAACCCTACTTTTCCCAGATGTCCTTCACTTCATGCAATGCAATTTTAATTTAAGTATCGACTGTCAGGGCATAACCAGCCTCTTACCTGAAGGTTTACTTCATATTGAACCAAGTTTAAAATATTTGCAATACTTGCTCCTCATTGTAGCTCAAGTAATGATGCATTTCTTCATTTTTATTCTAGAAATTGTTCGAGAAGGAAGTAAATCACATGCTATCTACATTGTAAGTGTAATGCGCAGAGATGCATCATGCCAGGAAGAACTGTGGCATGTATTTAGACGCTATTCCGAGTTTTATGACTTTCACCTCTCTATTACTACAAAAGTAAGTCTCAAAAATATAAATAGAATATTCATAAACCTTTTGACATGATGTAATTTCAAATATTTTCTAGTTAGGAGCCCCATTGTAGCTAATAAGTTGCTGCTTCAGCCTGGTCAACAAGTTCTGTAAGCATATGTACCTAACTGTACTTGTGTAACTGTCCTTGCATAACACCATCAACAGATGGTGTTATGCATCCCTAACCTCGTAGGCTTTGTCATGATTCCTTTCAAATTTATTTATTGAGGCAACCCCCTTGACTTATAATTCTTGTACTGAAGTTACTTCATACATCTCGTCAGCTCATTTTGCTGTTTTTAACAACTGTGTATTATCACTCTTAACTCTTTGGGGGTTTCGGATGTACTAGTACGTCTTACGACCCAGGGTTTTTGACGTACTAGTACGCCTAAATTCTAGCGCCCTCAAATCTAGTGAGAGAAAGCTGGTAGGCCTATATATGAAAGAATGGGTCTATGTGGTCAGTGTGCGCAGTATAAAAAAAATCCTGTAGTACACAGTGCGTAATGAGAAAAAAAATACTTTGACCGTGTTTTTCAAATCAAATCAAATCAAATCAAAGTTTATTCTCTATAAGGATTACAATGCAGGGTTTACAGATTTTGGCTATTGTGTGGTTTACATGTAGTAAAATAATAATTACAGAGGGGGCCACTAGAACACCTAGCATGGCTAGGCATTTCGGGCAAACTTAGATTAATTCTTAACCCTAAATTAAAACAGCGACTTTGCACTGTATTTTCGTATGGTATTTATTGTTGTATTCTAGTTTTCTTGGTCTCATTTTATAGAATGGAAGACATATTACAGAAATTGAAATGATTTTGACTGGTTTTACAATGAAAAGTACCTTGAAATTGAGCTCAAAGTAGCAGAAATGTTCAATTTTACCAAAGTTCAAAAGTTAACAAATCATGCCAAGCGTCCAATACACATCAACTGGCGAGTCTAACATTCTTTCACAAGTGCGCTGATATTATTTATACCATTTCTACACAAATGCAGTAGTCTGCATAACAGTAAATCTTGTTTTTTTGTAAGAATAAAAATTCAAAGTGGAAAGCCAAAGAAATGTAAGAGGGGCCTGGGGATGTGACTAACGAACAGAGAACTTGATATTTTAGTGCCAGGAATGTCTTTCTTGTTTATTCTGGATCCTATTCGGAAATTGGCATCTTTTGAAATTTGTGTGAAATTCGCAAAATTGCTAAATTCTGACCACTTTATTGGATAGTTGTAATCGGTAAATGGGTGGTTTCTTGTACTCATTCGATAGAAAAAATGGAGTTCTAGTGAAATAGTTATGATTTTTGTCGACTAGTACACTGGAATTGGCCAAAAATAGGGATCAAAGTGGGCAAAATCGCCGATGCGTAAACATCATTGAGACCATTGACTTCACGAGAGCATAATTCCGGAAGTTTTCTATCAAATGTCATATTTTTGGTGTCATTATGATCGGGAAAAGATTCTCTATCTTTTCATAAGATTTTTTTTTTTTTTTTTTTTTTTTTTTTTTTTTTTTTTTTTTTTTTTTTTTTTTTTTTTAAATTTGGCCGACCTTGAGAACAAGTCTCTGAGAGGACTTGTCGACCCCAAAGGGTTAAAGCAAGGTTTTTACTAAATAATATGCACAGAGTAACACCCCTATTTTGTGAATGCAAGCCATGCAGAAAAATTGAAAATTAAAAATAATGGAAAAAAAAAAAATTGAGCCATCATTGCCACAAGGGACTGGAGAGTAAATCTTACTGTGATAGAAATAAAGGAAAGGAGGGAGGATCTTTATGTAAACATTGCTGACAATGGCAGCCCAGCTTCACACATCCACATGTTTGTCACAAAATACAAGTTTAATAATCAAATTTATGCATAGTGTATATACATTAGCTTATATACATGTATATACACTATCTAGTTTCTTCTTGTTTAACTCTGATGATGCAGATAGAGGGGAAATAAAGGATAATATAAATATTAGTGGAATTGCTCTCGCACAAACAAAACCAGAGCCTGTCTCTCGAGGCAATAACAGTTTATGTATAAACATTATCTGTAACCTAATAGTTTAGCCTTGATGATACAAGGGATATGAAAACAATGCATGTGTTAACTGTTATGCAGGAAACAGCTGATTTAGAGCCATCTATAAATCAGACGTGTGGCTCCCATGCTGATAAATAATTTATTTATAAATATTATCGTTAGTTTTCTTGTGGGATATGAAGATGCTGCTGATGAAAAACAAACTGATTTAATCACATGTGTGAGCACTAAAATTTAGTGGTACCTCAAATTTCGAACATTTCTCAGCTCAAACAATTATGTAAGTGTATTTTTGGGTGTCTGAAACAGACTAATCTAATTTACATTATCCTTACGGTAATAAATTATTCAGTAATGGCGCTTGAACAGCCTTCTGGAATGATTTAAGGCCGAAATTCAAGGTACCACTGTATACCCCTGTCTTATACATGGGATTATGCAAAAAATCTTATTCAGTGAAAGTACATTAGTCTCATCACCTCCCTCTCCCAGTCTCATGGCCTGAGTTATTCCTGTATACTGTGTAACTCAGTGTTTGTATAATATCCATATGAATTTAAGGATTTTGTTGTTATTGTATCTGTTTGTAGTCAGTGTACAGGAGTAAACATACAGGAGGACCCTGCTTATATGGCAGGTTAGGTTCCAGGCTACCACCTTAACCCTTTGACTGTTTTGGTCGTATATATACATCTTACAAGCCAGTGTTTCAGACGTATATACGTATACTCAATAATTCTAGCGGATCATTATTTAGTTGTAGCTACAGTTAGAGTAAGAGGTAGATGGGAAAAGAGGAAGGTGGCAACAACAAGTATGAGGGAGGTGAAAGTGTATAAACTAAGGGAGGAGGAAGTTCGGGCAAGATATAAGCGACTATTGGCAGAAAGGTGGGCTAGTGCAAAGATGAGTAGTGGAGGGGTTGAAGAGGGTTGGAATAGTTTTAAAAATGCAGTATTAGAATGTGGGGCAGAAGTTTGTGGTTATAGGAGGGTGGGGGCAGGAGGAAAGAGGAGTGATTGATGGAATGATGAAGTAAAGGGTGTGATAAGAGAAAAAGGTAGCTTACGAGAGGTTTTTACAAAGCAGAAGTGTTATAAGAAGAGCAGAGTATATGGAGAGTAAAAGAAAGGTGAAGAGAGTGGTGAGAGAGTGCAAAAGGAGAGCAGATGAAAGAGTGGGAGAGGCACTGTCAAGAAATTTTAATGAAAATAAGAAAAAAATTTGGAGTGAGTTAAACAAGTTAAGAAAGCCTAGGGAAAGTATGGATTTGTTAGTTAAAAACAGAGTAGGGGAGTTAGTAGATGGGGAGAGGGAGGTATTAGGTAGATGGCGAGAATATTTTGAGGAACTTTTAAATGTTGAGGAAGAAAGGGAGGCGGTAATTTCATGCACTGGCCAGGGAGGTATACCATCTTTTAGGAGTGAAGAAGAGCAGAATGTAAGTGTGGTGGAGGTACGTGAGGCATTACATAGAATGAAAGGGGGTAAAGCAGCTGGAACTGATGGGATCATGACAGAAATGTTAAAAGCAGGGGGGGATATAGTGTTGGAGTGGTTGGTACTTTTGTTTAATAAATGTATGAAAGAGGGGAAGGTACCTAGGGATTGGCGGAGAGCATGTATAGTACCTTTATATAAAGGGAAAGGGGACAAAAGAGACTGTAAAAATTATAGAGGAATAAGTTTACTGAGTATACCAGGAAAAGTATACGGTAGGGTTATTTTATTTTTTATTTATTATCACACTGGCCGATTCCCACCAAGGCAGGGTGGCCCGAAAAAGAAAAACTTTCACCATCATTCACTCCATCACTGTCTTGCCAGAAGGGTGCTTTACACTACATTTTTTGAACTGCAACATTAACACCCCTCCTTCAGAGTGCAGGCACTGTACTTCCCATCTCCAGGACTCAAGTCCGGCCTGCCGGTTTCCCTGAACCCCTTCATAAATGTTACTTTGCTCACTCTCCAACAGCACGTCAAGTATTAAAAACCATTTGTCTCCATTCACTCCTATCAAACACGCTCACGCATGCCTGCTGGAAGTCCAAGCCCCTCGCAAACAAAACCTCCTTTACCCCCTCCCTCCAACCTTTCCTAGGCCGACCCCTACCCCACCTTCCTTCCACTACAGACTGATACACTCTTGAAGTTATTCTGTTTCGCTCCATTCTCTCCACATGTCCGAACCACCTCAACAACCCTTCCTCAGCCCTCTGGACAACAGTTTTGGTAATCCCATACCTCCTCCTAACTTCCAAACTACGAATTCTCTGCATTATATTCACACCACACATTGCTCTCAGACATGACATCTCCACTGCCTACAGCCTTCTCCTCGCTGCAACATTCATCACCCATGCTTCACACCCATATAAGAGCGTTGGTAAAACTATACTCTCATACATTCCCCTCTTTGCCTCCAAGGACAAAGTTCTTTGTCTCCACACACTCCTAAGTGCACCACTCGCCCTTTTCCCCTCATCAATTCTATGATTCACCTCATCTTAAATAGACCCATCCGCTGACACGTCCACTCCCAAATATCTGAATACATTCACCTCCATACTCTCTCCCTCCAATCTGATAACCAATCTTTCATCGCCTAATCTTTTTGTTATCCTCATAACCTTACTCTTTCCTGTATTCACTTTCAATTTTCTTCTTTTGCACACCCTACCAAATTCATCCACCAATCTCTGCAACTTCTCTTCAGAATCTCCCAAGAGCACAGTGTCATCAGCAAAGAGCAACTGTGACAACTCTCACTTTATGTGTGATTCTTTATCTTTTAACTCCACGCCTCTTGCCAAGACCCTCGCATTTACTTCTCTTACAACCCCATCTATAAATATATTAAACAACCACGGTGACATCACACATCCTTGTCTAAGGCCTACTTTTACTGGGAAATAATTTCCCTCTTTCCT